CATTGACCTGACATGATGCCTTGATATGGTTCTTGATCCCCTCAGGCTCTTCTGTAGTCTCTTTGTTCTATAATTAAGTGCTCCCACCACAAAACGTACAACCTCTACTCAACAAATCTTGGTCCCACCCCATACCTCAAAAAGTCTAAGCATTCATATGGGTCCTCCTCCATGGGAAGACATTTATTTTAGACCAACTTCAACGTCGTGGTGTTTCCTTTCTCAACTGCTGCATTCTTTGCCAACTGGAAGAATAAAATATCCCTCACCTTTTCATTCTTTGTCCAATCTCCATGGGACATTGGTCATCCCTTCTTAACCTGTTTGGTCTACAAGGGGTCACTCCCCCCCGTCTCTGAATACTCGAACTCCTTTTTTCGCCGCCTTTCTCTAGAAATGGAAAACTGTTATGGCACTTATCTATTGCCACTTTGCTATGGAGTCTGTGGATAGAGAGAAATGCTCGCACCTTAGTGGCCTGATTAAAATCCAGTAGTCAGTTTTTCAAACCATCTTAACCTTAATATCTCTTTGGGCCATTAAGATGCCTATTTTTGCAAACATCCCATCTCCCACTTTTTGACAAACTAGGATTGTCTTCTTAATCTTTCTACCTCATCGAATAGATTCCAGCCTCACTGAACACCCCCACCCCCAGGCTGCCTGAAACTCAATGTGCATGGCTCTTCCTTAGGAAAGCCAAGGCCCTCTGATATTGGAGGGCTACTTACAGATTCAAATGCATCATAGGGGCCATCTCGGAGTTCACTGGAATCGAAGATTCCACCTATGCAGGGGCTTGGGCCTTACTTGAAGGCCTCAAGAAAGTTGCACAGATGGGATGCAACCCTTAGGGTATAATAATCTAATCCGACCAAGGCACTACGCTTTGGGCTACACACCAGAAGGATCCCGCATGGAGGCTTAGCTCAATTTTTTATCAAATTTCATTCCTATGTAGTAACCTCCCACAGATTCAACTCAAGCTCATTTTTTGAGAGGCTAACGCAGAGGCAGATCGTCTGGCAAAAGAAGGTTCTTCTTAGGGCACATGTACACTGCCTCCCCCTTGATATCTGTCTTTGTCCTTCTTCTATATTCTTCCTGGCCCCTTATATTACTCTATTTTACTCTCTCCCCCTCCTTTTCTTCTACCTGGAAAAAGGAAAAAGGAAAAAGGAGAAAACCAAGGGGGGGGGGGAAGAAAAGGAAAAGGAAAAAAGAGGAAAAATGCCAAAAAAAAGGGGGCAATTTTTGCCTTACTGTAATTGGTTCTCTTTGAAAATCTCTTTGTTTCTCTCCCTTTTGATTTGGCTCCGTGTTTTTCCTACATCTTTAGGGCTCTCTTCTGCATCTCTGGTCTCGCTCTGTCTCTGCCCCTTCTTTCTCTCTTCTGCTTTCTTCCTCTCCCCTTTTAGCCACCTTCGTCTCACACTTGTATTCTCCAACTGTCATTGCTCTCTCCCCTTCATGCCTCCCTCTTCGCTTCCCTCAGATCTTTTCATCTCTTTCTATTTCTCTCCATCACATCTATTGAGCTTCTCTCAGTCACTGTTAGTTGTAGCAGAGGGCTGCTAGAGCAGAACCAACCCACAATATCTCCCCACTTCACCATCCCCTCCCTCATTTCGCAATCAGGTGCCCTGCTTACTGGATACTGCAGCAGATTCCTCATACTCACCCTCTCCTACTCTCAATCCTGAAGAATAGGGTTTAGGGTTTAGGTAACTCTGATTCGTGACTAGTAGAAACAGAGGCCCACAACGTGCAGGTTTAGTCCAATTTGTCTCCCCTCCAAGCCCCCACCACTAAGGAGTGTGCTTAACCTCAGCCTACCCGTTGCTGTTGAGGAAGGCTTTTTAGAAGACCGGTTGCAGAATACTCAACATCCAGTCTCTTCCTCTAACCCCTTCTTGTTAGACTCTAGTGTTGTAGCTGAGACGATACTAAGGAACTCTACCCTATCTCCACAGCCAACTGAGCTTGAACGTAAACACAAGCATCCCTCGATAGCCTTTTTGTTTTTTTTTTTTGTATTGCTTTTAGGCAATTCTGGTTCTTAATGCTCTTTAGGTCTCTTTGGTGCACCATGTAAGGTCTTTTTGTATTATGGACCCTCTCCCTCTCCTTCTTTAACTTTCTGGTTCTTTATAATTTTCTCACTTTTTATAGTCTGAGCACCCAATTTGTGGGTTGCTGTCTGTTTTCTTACCTTCATGTAATCTCTCTATAAAAGTCAACAGATATAAAAAAAAATGAACACAAAACTCGTAAAGATAATTTTACCCTTGTGAACAATACCTTGAATAGTACATGTGAATAGTAACTAACAATTAGTAAATAAAAAAAAAAATAAAAACATTAGAAACCCTAAAAATACTTAAAACCCTAAAAAACCCTCAAACTAAAATCAAAATATATATCCTTTGAAATTGAATAAATTTTTTTTGAAGTATAATTTTTCCCTACATCATGGACCCACTCGCGGTGCACCCATTGGTGATGACACCACAATGCTGGTCTCCTCAACGTAGCCCCACCAGCGGTGTAGGCTACACTGCTGGCAGCCCCTCTCCCCTACTCAACAATGGTGTGAGCTACACTTCCTGTCCCCTACTTCCTTACATCGGGGGTGCCCTAGAGCCATGCATTGCTAGCCCTTCTCGCGCCGACACCGTGGGTCTTCCAGTTTGTACCGTCGGACCATCAAGCCACATCGTTGGTTCCCTTGGTCCCTCTCCCTCACGCACCAATAGGCCCTTATGTTGTTGCATTGACGGTCCACTTGGCCCTTCCCCCACCGGCATCGTCAATCCTCCGGTTTACATTGCTGGCCCTTTGAGCCATGCTGTTGGTCCCCTTAAGCCCCTCTCCCTCGTGCATGCCAGTGCCCCACATTGTCGCACTGCTGGTCCCCCACGTCGCATCGCTGGCCTCCCACAAGCCCACGCTGCTGGTCCCCTACTTCCCCATTGGAGCCATGCCGGTGCCCCGAAGCCTAGCATTGCTGGTTTGGGCTGTCATACCTCTCGCACCGCCCGTCCTTCCTCCCCCACCATCAGTGTTGGAGGTCAAGGGTAAACTCCGGCGGTCTAAAATCTTTCTTGACATGCCAACATTGCTTCTCCCTCTTCTCGAAAGCCATTGCTCATCTTCCCACCCCATCTGTCATTAGATCACTATTCTTTCAGGCTGGTGGGCATCTAATACCCAGTCCACTCTCGCTCGTTTGACTCAATTGGTAGCAATGGGGTTTGTAGCCCTTGTAGAACCGAGACAGGCTCACGAGCAACGAGAGTTTCTCATGGCAACCAGTAGGGCTGCTACCACCACCATTCTCGCTCCTTTAAGTTCCTGTGGGGGCTGGTTGCACTATGATAGGGGCAATCGTTATGCCTGCACATGATTGGGGGAAGCTAATGCCCCCAGTTCGGAGGTCAGTCTACCTAAGCCTGGATCATTCCATCTTCCTAAACATAACGAAACCCCGAAGCAAAAAAGACCATCCCTACATGTAAACTACCTTTAAACCCTCAACCCTTGAAGCTATCCCCTAAACTCAGTACCTTTCCCATGACCACCTGGTACTCTATAACCTTTCCTTCCAGTTCCTTACTCTCAAACCCACCCAACACACTGAAGGGGCCATGCATTAGCAAAGGTTAGCTTCCATCATGGTGGAGGCCAGAGACACGGACTAATTCCCCTTATGCAACTCTGCCTATGGCTGGGGGCAGGGGGCAGGGGGCACTCCATTAAGGCCAAGTTTTGCCACAGACTACGCGAGGTGGTCATTTTTCGTCTAGGGGCAATACCACCAGGCCATGCAGCTGGGCTCTGCAATACAAGTAGAGTTCTGGGAACAAGTGTTTGGGAAGCTAAAAGCCCAGCTGAAAAGGCATGTTGAGTTGCCCATCGAGAAGCCAAGCTAGTGGAGAACCAGCCTTTGGAAGAAGTAAACTCTTCTTCCCTTTAACCTCACTCATGCCTAATGAAGTTGGGAAGTTGATACTTGTTGTGTCATAACCGGAAGAAGAGGAGGATGTTCCTGAACTGTTAGGCCAAGAGGAGCTAGCCCACGATGGGGGTAAAAGGGAGAGGATGGGCTCTACATCACAAGTGGTCTACCACAAGCCCATTCGCACTGGGGGCCTGCACCAAGCACAAAGCCAAGAAGACGTTGAGGACCGGATATGTTTGCCTAGGCGGTCAAGTCATCAGCTAGGCGGAACCTTCGGAATCTTATAGACTGCTTTTGCATAAGATATTGAGTTGCACAGAAGTTCAGTATTGAGTTGGCATCAACATGCCTGGAGTGTAAGATGTGGGGTTTTAATTTGTAACATAAACATTTTTCTGATGTTCCCTACTACTATATGAAGATAATTCACTGTTACTAGGACAACCCTCAGAAATATTCAAGCACATTGTTATTTCTGCTGTCATTATTGAAAGTCAGAGTAATATCCCTAACTTAATTCTGGATCTTTCTTCAAAAGGAATAGCATCCACTTGATGGGTGTACGTAACGGAGAGAGTGCAGGTAATGGATTTTTTATTGTTAGGCTAGGATGTGTCCTGAAGGTAGTTGGTTTGTATTGAATGCAGTTGTGCCTTCTCTCGCTCTCATTATGTTCTACTAGAAACTGGCATTCCTAAACCTAAACTTCAACTTCTCCATGGTCAATTGAAATTATTGTTCTATTATTTTCAAAATTCCAGATATTGTTTTGAAACGAGAATGTTCTATCAGAGTTTTGGAAAGGAATCTATTCTGAGATGAATAAAAAAGCTCAGGCTAACTGAATTTTCTGCCCTAAATTTGTTATCATCCTTCATTTGATAGCATCTGCCAGTTGTTGTATCCTTTTTCTTGTTCATTCTGTAATATTATTTCTGCTTGTGTTACTCAGCCTATGGATGTCAATTGTGCATTTCTGATTCCTAATTGAACTGAACTGCAGAGGTGTTGTGACTAATTGTTCTATATGTTTTCTAAGGTCCTGGTGAAGCAGCCAATTGGATTAATGAGATATTCTGGAGTTGCAAGTGGAATTTATGTGGCTTCTTCATCAGGTATAATCTATGGGTTGTGAATCTTCTTTTGATTCTCATCTGATATATGTAGTACCTGCGAACTGTACTTCAGGACATCAATTAGACATTGTTGGTATTTTCATTAGCATGCCCACTTTGTGGCGTTCTTTGTTTGAACGCTTTGATGTTCAGTGGTGCTAATATGTTTTAGCACATATTTTCCCCTTTTTCTTAGGCCTTTTGTTCTGTTTTGCAACCAGGCAAACCTGCTGAAAGTAGAGTGAAGGTTCTTCAGCGTGATTTTCGAATGAACTGCACATTGGTTCAGGTGAACTTTAAGAAAGATGCTTTGTTTTGGATATTGTGATATTATTGACCTTAAGTCAGTTTTTTCTTATGTTTTGATAAGTGCCTAATTCATCATCTGCGGAAAGGAATCTTGCATAAAATCATTAGGGATGGAAATGGGCCGGTCCTAGGCCAAGCCACCCCTGGCCCTCGTTCCCATTGGGCCGCCTGGCCAGGCCCTGCTCTAACCCAAGTTCCCATAGGGCTGGCATGGCCCAACCTAGCTCAGGTCTAGCTCTAGCCCTATAGGCGCCAGGCTGTACCGGGCCGGCAAATAAACTCAAAATTAACCGCATCAGAGGTGAAATAAAAAATACAACATCTAAAGAGCCATCATTATTACCATCATCACCCCCCTCCACTTATACCTCTTCCTCAGTCTCATTTGAGACAACTTTCTCCTCTCTGATCTTTGGACCTGATGTGGACCCAACTCCCTTCCTTCACGATCTGGTGCGAGGCTTTACTTCTTATCCAGTCTTTGTAGCTTGCTTGATAACCAACCAAGTATGAGCCTCACCGTCTAACATCCGCTAAATTGTGGATCTTCTGTGCATTCACTTGCGCCTTGAGGTTTATCCATTACAAATGGGTTGACATCCATTCGGGTGCTATTATATACGACATACATAAGATCATTTGACTTTTTTTGCTCCAGCTTGTTCCTCTTTTCACTAGGAAGCTGTGACAGATAAGCCAGGAATAGACAATGGAGAAAACATTTTACTTAAGGGACTGTTCCTCTTTTGTGCTCCAGCCTCTTCCTCTTAACAGTTTTGTCCTTTACCCCATTCTCAGTTGAGGGACCCTCATTCTTATCACTTCCCCCTTCACACCATTCTCAATCCATTACCTCTTTTTATGCCACTTCCATGTTGGTAATGGCTGCAATCCCCAAAAACCCTTTCTTTCCTTTCCTTTTATGGACTTACTTTTGCACATAAAAGAGTGGAGTGGCACTTGTGACTTCTAAAAGAGAGGATGAGGGGATAAAACTTGCCTCTCTACAATAAAACCGAGAGAAAGAGAGTGAGATGAAGCAGAAATGGTGCAACCATGATTGTGCAGAATCTTGATGAGAGTTATGGGGTTTTTGGCCTTTTACTACTGCTAGTCTTCAACATCCAAATAACTTCTAACATCAACATAAGAGCCATTGCCAAGTGCAACAAAAGAAATTCTATTTCAGAGAGAGAGGAAGGGGTAGAAGGACACACTATATGTCTTTGAGTTTCATGTTTCGTAGAGAGATGGAGAGAAAAGAGTCATATTTCTTATAGAAAAAGAGTAATGAAAGTGTCATTTTTCTTACAGATGAAAGGCCATATTTTTGAAGAAACAAGCTACACAAGGTGGAATAAAGACTCTGCCTCCTCCCATCAGTTTAAGTCGTTGCCTTTAATTGCAATGGCGTTTGACTTTTTATAGGGAATGACTTTGTCCCCTCAAAACCCGCAATGGCATTTGCCTCTTTTAAGGGAAGAGCTTCATCCCCCAAAACCTAAGTTTGCAATAGAAGAGGGGCAAAAGAAAAAAAGAAAGCTGCAGATTGGCTTGGTGCAAAGACATGAAGATTTTGCATGAGAGAGAGACGGAAGAAATTGAGCAAGAGAGTGGCGAAAGGAAGTCTGGACATGAGGGGCATTTTTCAAAAGAAAGGGTTAAAGGCACTCCAATTACATGGTCTTACAGTGTATTTATAATACACCGGACTATTCTCAAATGTATAATATATATTTATGAAGCAATAATATATTTGTACAAAAGAAAAACATTCTGTGGGGTTCAAACCTATGACCATGTGTAGGGTCGCAACACGCTAGCCACTAGCGCCCTCTAAGCTTTTTGGTCTCTACATTATGTAATATATTGTGAGTAAACAGCCGGATCCTTGCCTTTTTTCTTTTTTAAGGCTTCAAAGAAGGCCTATACAAGTGATCTATACAAATGTATATATATATTATAAATTATAATAAATACATATATAAGAGAAAATCACTTACATATATATATATGAGAAATCACTGCTAGGGGTTTGAACCTGTGACCTTGAGCATAAGTTTGCAGCGCTCTAAGCACTACAGCCCTCTAAGCCTTTTGATAATAATTATCTTCATTATATAATTTTCTATGGGTAAACAGCTGATTTGAGGTCATTATATATGTAAAAAAAGTGAGTGCTAGGTTTGGGAATCAAACCCTCAACCAAGGGTCAGTAGCCTGTCAATTCTAGTCCACTATGCTATTCAGCTTAGATGACATGATATATTAAAGAACCTGCCAACTTAGACAAGGAACCAGTGTGGTTCCCACCTATTCTAGATCCAGATAGGGCGATACCTGATTGGGATCGCGATTTTATGAATACTGTTGTTACTAGAACCCCTGAATGTTCGGTTGACACACTTTGTCCAAGATGACCAAATGGATGTTGCGCTTGGAGGTGTGACCGACCACAAGAAAGATTTCATGAGGCATTCAAGAGTGTGGGCGACACAGAAGGCATGAGGAAGAGAGACAGGAAATAGATTCAGATATTCTAAAGAGTGGCTTTGATGAGGGTCCCATGGGAGAGTAAATGACCTTTCCCAAAGAGACAGACGTCCTTGGAACTTTCCGTAGGCAGAGTTTATCTCGCTCATCCATCTAGACTGTAGATACTCAACATAAACTCCAATATTGCACCTAATCTCTCTCTCTCTGATAACATCTATATTCTAAGATCCTTCTAGAAAGCTACATGTCATTGAAAAACCAACTGTTTCACTTTGAAGTGCTTATGAATCTCTCTCTATAACTCTCAACGTGATTTAGTTTTAAAAATAACTTCATCTCACCACTCTATAAAGGGGTCTTCTCCAGTCACTTCAAACATACACCTCTGAGAAATAGAGAAAAATACTTTAGAGTGAGAGAGAGCTCAAAACGAGAAAAGAGTATCCCCTCTTGTCCATTCCTCTCAGTGTTTCCTGATCGAGCACCAAGATTTGTCAAAAACCCATGTGGGTCTGTCCTACTTTGAAAAGTTCCAGATTTTGTCTCAAGATGTATAGGATCCATCCAGGTTCTTCTATTCCTTTTTTAGCGCATATTTCCAAAAAATATCCAATTTAGTCTTATAATTCGCAAAGTTCCATTTCTAGTTCCAAATTCTTCCAAAAATCCTATTTCCACTCTAGATGTTCAAAACTCCCCATTTTCAGCCAAAAATACCTAGAAATTCGAATTCCAGCTCAGATTCCTCCAGAAATTCCATTTATAATCTGATTTTTCTATAAATTCCTAACTTTAAGTTTCCATTTCTAGTCCAAATCTTGTCGAAATTCCATATAGTAATTCTTGAATTACCTATCTAAAAATCCCTAAAAATTCTCCCAAAAATTGTTTAGAAATCCTGCAAAGTTCCTAATATTGTTCTAAAGCTCAGGTTAGAAGGTTTTTGTATTATATCAAAGAATCAGGTTGGATTCCTTCGAATTTTTTCTGGGGTATCGTGAACCGGCAATGTGGAACTCTAACACCCTATTTTGTCTGGTGATTGTGAACCAGGTTACGGCGAGGTAGAGAAACTGCTAATGCACCCATAACTCTGTCTCGATCTCTTAGTAGGAATTGGACTGCTTGGGTTATATCATGTGGCTGGGGTCATATGTCTAACAAGTTTCATTCAGTTTGTTGAATTATTGTTTGATTTAGACTCAGTGTTCCTACATAAGAACCTATGTTGTTTAAATATTTTTTGTACATGATAATCTGCTCCTTAGGCATGTAGTTTGGGTAGATGAGTGCTAGAAATCAAAATTGGGACGTAGTGATGCAATCATCAAGAACTAACTAGCTGTGAAGCCCAAGCCTATTTAAAACTTCCTCCCAAGTTTTCTAATAGTGAAGAGCTATTTGTCGTTGATTTTGTTTTTCTCGTGCACTTCAAGGGCTGTCTACTAGCTAATCAACATTATTACAGTAATATGTACGTGATGCAGATGGCTAGAGTACCCTTTACGGTAAAGAAATGAAGACCCCTCGGTTGTTGATAGAAATAAAGGTCAAATGTTAATCTATCTATTCAAAAGCCCCTAAATCAATAAACAAAAATGAAAACTGACATCTTCTTTACCACTTTGTGGTCTTTTGGCCCAATGTCTTGTGAACATGCTTGCATTTTGATTATATTTAACATGTGAATGACTGATAAATCCTTTTTGAAAGAGTGCAATGACAATAACATGATTGTTAGAAAGAGTGGTGGGTGGTGTAAGATGGACTCTCAAATCATATTAACATTTTCTTAAGACGGAAAATCCCACTGCATTTAAATGGCATCATATTACTCAACTCTTCTTTTAGACTTAGTGTGACTTGTTTCTTATTGTGCAATGAAATCATACTACTGTAGTCATCAGAATTGTAGCAAATATAGCTGTAGATTGTCCTGTATTGGGGCATGTCACCTAGTCAGAATTGGCCAAATCAACTTGTCTGAGATGATTTATTGACGACTGCATTGGGCTACATGTCACTGAAGAACCAACTTGTCAGATGATTTATTGATGACTGCATTGGGCTTTATATCACTGATGCACTGTGATGTCAAATGATATGGTGAAGAGCAGTCAAAAGTGATCCTGGATCCTGAACAAATTAACGCAGTCCTTGAATCAAATGAGAGATCTCTGGTCCATTAATTGTCAAAGAGCAGTCAAAAGTGATTCCTGGATTCTGAACAAATTAATTCAGTCCTTGAATCAAATGAGAGATCTCTGGTCCTTGCTCACGTTAACTAAAACTTTGTTTGTTTAATATGAGTGTTTACAATTTATTGTCAATGTGGCAACTGTCCATCACATCCGGAGGTTTTGAAGATATCCTCATGTAGTTTTACATTGATGAATCAATGTTTCACATTAGTTGATAGAAATTTTGACCTTCTACGGCCATGCATGATAATAATTTGTTGATGAGTTTGATGATGGCCAAAATTGTTGCTTCATTGTATTAGCGTTAGTTCTTGGGTATATCCTTTATTTACCAACTATGATTTCTATTTTCCAAGGGAACCATCAGTGAAGTTTTTAACTCATCTTTCTGATTACAACATAACAAATTCTTATAAGCGGGAAGATGAATGACATCTCTGAGATGGTTCTATTCTAAGTCCACTCTTGCTGCGTTGCCTTTTTCCTAATATAATACTAATGCCTTGTTTGACCCCTATTTTTAGCCATTATAGTTAAATGCTCTATCTGTCTGTATCATGCTTAAACATTAATTTATTCTCTAATACATTATGTTTTGACATTCAATCCTCCTTTTTAGGTTGAGATATATACAGGACGCCCACACCAAATTCGCATTCATCTTTCATTCATTGGACACCCCCTTTTAGGTATATTTCTAATGTTCTCATTTTGTTATCTCTCTATTCTAAATATTTGTTTTGTAGCAATGCATGTCTAATGTTCTCATACTCTTTACTACATTAAGGATATAATTCCCTGTTGGATCAATTGGTGAATTTCTCTGATGGAAATGGTTATTCATTCTTATTTTCTTTGTTCTTTGATTTCTCTTTTATGAAACATCATATTGTAGTGAAGACATGCGTAATAGCAATGGAATTGTACAAATATCAAATGATTGGCATTTGACTTTCCTAAATCAGCTTGTTTTGTAATATTTACTTCCCTAAATATTGGGTTCTAGTGTCAAATGGTTTCTTTAGTGTCAAAGCATGCTATTGAGTTGTGACTGTCAAGATGTATATTATTCTTGTATTTAGCATATGTACTTTGTTACTAGTTTGATTTTAGTTTTGTCATATTATTTTACATGGTATTTATGCGGGTTGTACTACCCTGCCATCTGTATGTATGGGATTAATATCTAATTCTAATGAATGAGTACTCTGTCCAAGTTTCTCTAATTCTTGCACATTTGTTTTTTTTTTTTTTTTTTGAGGAAATATTTCACTGTATTATTATACTGTATAATTATTTTGAAAATACTAAAAAATGGCTACCTGTTGGGAGCTCTATATAAGAAGGGGTACCTGAAAATTCCTCCCCTACCAGAGTCATACACGTCGTTAAGGATAAGAAATGGCAGCACACTGTGACTCTCATTCAAAAAACTAGCGTAAGGATGAAAGGAGGGGGGCTGGGTGGGGGGGGAGGGGAGAAAGAGAGAGACGGTGAAGAGAGGTAAAGGATATGAGGTGGAAATATAAGAGGGATGTAGCTATAGTAAGGGTAGAGGAGCAGAGGTGGCCACTGTAGAGGGTTGCATGCTGCTGCCCTGCTTGCTACCCTGCTTTGCTAGTTCATCTGCAGCTAGATTGCTTCCCTGGGCACATGGTTGAATGTCACCTGAAGTCTCCTGCATAGAAGATGGTTGTGAGCAAAACGATGTGCCAATCTCATTCTGAGTAAGTCAAAGCTACGACATTTCGAGAATCCACTTACACTATGAGGTGATTGGGGGAGATATTGGAGTGGCGGACTCATTTTAGGCTTCCTACAATTGTTACAGTCTCAGCCAGAGTGGAGTCAGCATGTCCTATGAACCCTGAGAAAGAAAGGAGGACCACACCCTTAGTATTCCTAAGGACTACCTCCAAACCTGGTGGGGCCTGGTTCGGCAAACAACAGCCGTCTACTTTCAGTTTCAATGAACTTGTTGGAGTGGATGACGAGAGTGGGTGGGCGCTCTGAGTTGAAGGATTAAGGGACGGAAGGCATTCCCCACTGTTTGGTAGGAGTGAAGTCCATAAATTTGCTTATAGATGTTGTCCCTTAGCCCAGAAAGTGGGTTCTGACATTATTTGGTGTTGAAGGTACATACAAAGGCGTTTCTCAAAAAAAAAAAAAAGGTTACATACGAAGGCACCTTCTCCTGGAATATCTGGGAAATTCTTTCCGTCCTATTCCCCAAAAGATGAATATTACAGCTGTCTTCCCCAGTAAATGACCCAATGTTGGGAATGGGGGGTCATTAAGCATCTAACATTTGGTTAAATGTGACGCGAGTTACCCATTGGCACCAGAAGGCTAAAATTAAAAACCCTAGTCTTTTGAATTTGTAGTGCAAATCAGTCCAACAAACAAAATAATCGGTTAAGACTCAGTGGGGATTTAGTCTTTGATATTGAATAAATGATCTTAATCTGTTTACAATCCAAAATCCTAGATTTGTGATTAGCCACATTGTAGTGGTACTATAGCAATCGCTGTAGCAGAACTATGTGATCATCGTTGCAGACATATGGTGTTAATGTAGCAGTCCATACTAGTGTCAGTACATTTCCGTATAATCTCTTGAAACACTAAGGGTGTTTGATAGTTTCCCATGCAGTTTGTCTGGGAACTGAGAGCCCTGGAAAAGGGGAGCTTTGGAAAACGAGAGCCAAATAAATTGAGAATGCTTGTTTGGTGATTCATCTAGATTTCATGGTGATGTCAATTGTCTCATTCATCCTGGTATGCAAATTGCCTGTTTTAGCTATCCATGATGTACTACATTGATCAAAGGTTGATTTGTGTCTCTTCAACAAGATTTTGTGGTTGTGACCCCTCTATAACAATTGTAACATCTTGATTGATTTAATAGGTAACTCCCTCTCTTTCTCTTATACACCCTTGATTAGTTTCTCTTAGTTGTGTCTTCTCTTATGTGTAACTTGTATTTGCTGCATTTGGTATTCACCTCTTGATAAAATTTGAAATCCATTAATCATTGAAATAGGATTTTATTGGGTGTGTAAAGTGGGACATCCACAATATGCTCACAAGCTTATTTTAAATAAGCAGTCAACTTTCAAAGCTGTGTAGCATTTTGAAATTTTTTATCTCAAGTAACGATGTAAAATAATTTCATCTCAAACAATTTGTACTAATGTCTTCAATATGTTAGGAAGTCTTGTGAAATCGCAAAAATTTTATTACATGACAATATATCAAAGGCCTATCAACTAAACTGGTCGCAATTAACCATTTCAATTACATCTTCAATATTCTTCAAAGGCCTGTCAAATATATCTCAAATGGTTTACTAATCTTGCCAATAGTTCAAAGTCCTTTAAAAATAATTTCTTTTCAAATAACCATTCCAAATAAGTATAGGGTTGAACAAGGGTTTCCAAGGACACATGCTATGATAACGGTTTCAAAGGATATTGTACTTCTATGATGTAAGATTATCTTTGATGTCAATACAATTGGGTCTTAAGGTGAATGGAGAGCCAGACAATGTCATGCTTAGCAGCTTAGTTCAAATTATTTGTATTGATTACCATCAAAATAGAGAAGACAACCAGTGAGAAGTCAAAAAGATTCCAGTGGCATCTGAGGCAGCTAGATCCTTCAACTCGATCCTTCCACCACCTCACGTAGAACTCCCTTTGCTTTATTTGATGCCTACTTAAACAGATTGTCTTTTTAACTGAAATTTTCTTGTGTTCTCACCAATTGCATTTTCCATGTTGATAATGCAAAGTACACAATTTCTGGCATGATTTTTCTGCTCACCGAATGATGCGAAATGGGCACGAGAAATTAAATCCAACCTCTTTGTTATCCTAGAAAAATTTCAGAAGAAGTATGGCTGTGATCTCACCAAAGGTTTGGAAACACACTTTCTTCCTTCAATAAAATTTCATTCCAAATAACATTAGCCATCAAAAGAGGCATAAAAGAGGTTTCTAATACAAGAAAAAAAGTAACCAAAAAGAAAGAACCCAAAAGTTACGCCTGTTTAACCCATGCACCCACTTGCTATATATCCTATTATTTAGGATTCCTCTAAGAAAATCATGTACTTTCCCTCTCCTTCTGAAAAATTGATGAAACTTATCATGATTACCTATTTTCTTAGTCATCACATGACCACCTCTTCCAAAATCCCTTTAAAGTAACCCTATCGAATTAGCGATCCTATGTAATCTCCTCGCTACCTTCCACAAACCTAGGCCCTATGTGAATTCCATCTTTAAAGGACACTAACAAACTTACCAAACCATGAAAAATCTCATGCTAATCCTAAAACTAAGAAATTCAGCACCTGCCCATTAACAATAACTTAAAATGCAGTACAAATCCAAAAAACGAACCCCAATAAAATAAATAAATGAGTGCGAACCGCGCCAGAAATTTCTCCAGTAAAAAATTATAGATAGGAATCTTAATCATCCTGATTCTTGAACATTTTGGATAGGGTTTGCATCACGGATCATTCAAGAGTCACTGTTTAGAGGTTCTTCTTTATCTTTACTTGCATGTAATCCATAATCCATGAAATTCTCAGTTTGTATCACCTCGGAAAGGGCAAAAAAAAGAAGCCATAAATCACCTCCTTTAGGTATTAGAGAAATCAGTACAATCTCTATAAAATAATCAGAGCAATCTGTATAATCACTAGAAAAAATGTCAATATAATGGGTATATACTCGGTGTAATCTGATTTTATAATCAGTTATCAGTATAATCACAATAAATAATCAGTATATAATCAGAGTATATAATTCTTATACGCAGATTTATAATTAATCAGTATTTACGAGTAATATCAGTGTACTGATTAATTAGTGTTATCAGTCTACCAATATAGAGTATAAAAGTTAATAATATACAGATCGAGGTTCTATAAATAATCAGTATATAATCAGAGTATATAATTCTTATATGCAGATTTTATACTTAATTAGTGTTTACCAGTAATATCAGTGTACTGATTAATTAATGTTATCAGTCTACCTATATAGAGTATAAAAGTTAATAATATACAGATTATGAGGTTATATTAACAGTATACTGAAGTATATTATAAAATATTTAACAAATTCACAGTACATTGATTTACGATACACTGAAAATATTCTATTAATTAACACCACAGTAACAGCATACTGTTTAATTAGTACAGTGATTAACAATATACTCCTTATGTGTATACAGATTAACAATACGTATATACAAAATATCTAAAGTTTGAAAGCCCTAAAACCTTCAAAATGCTCTGATATAAGATGTTTATCAAACTAATCTGTTTGTCAGAGCATAATCAGATTATTAGTATGTCAATAATAAATGGTGCTGAAACATAACAAAAATTCAAAGTCCCTGGAATCTTCAAAATGCTTTGATGTGAAAACTAAAAACCTAGTATTCAATATGCTACTAAAAATGAAAACCAAAACCCTAATATCTTAAAAATTTGAAACCCTAAATAAATAGACCAAATCTGCAAATCAGGAAAGGAGAGAGAAAGTGTCCTACCTTGCAGAGAAGAGAGAGATTTGAGAGAGACACGAGTTTGTAGCAGAGGAGGGAGAGGGAGATCTCCAGTGAAAGTAGTAGTTGAAGAGAGAGAAGAGAGGGCCTTTCCTAAGAGAGA